TGTGCGCGTGTGTGTGTATGTGCGTGTGTTAGCCTTCGTTACTACTGTCATTTCTATATATAATATTGTTCATTGTCATTTTCATGTTCTTTTTAAACAGAGCCGTGTGGTAAACCAGCCTATTTTAACAATGTTTCGTAATGATTATGTAATTGAACAAGATACTCTGTATAAAGATGTGAAATAAATAAATAAAATAAAAATAAAGAGAGATCGAGAGGGAGTCGTGATACTTGGAAGAGAATGAATACAATACAATGAGATAGAGGAAATAATTAAACGAAAGGCTCAGAGGGGAGGAGGTATCCTGGAAGGAACTCATATGTGTTAAATTATGTTTAACAAGTGAATTTTCAGGTTTTTTTGTTCATCATCAGCGCCAAAATGAACTCGTATACAATGAATACAAACGTCCTATATACCAAACAGGTATGACGTACTAGTACGTGATCTGTACCATTTGTACTTTTAGCTGAGTGAAGCCCCGATGAAATTTTGAAAAAAACAGACTAAAACGTTTGGTAATTAGCCAATATGTTTGTTAGCCAGCTCTGTTCGGTGCGTATAGGCATTGTAATATACATAACCCCCACCCGAGAGGTGGCAGAATAAATTACACACAATAGAACTAAGAACATCGAGTAACTTGATAACGAAATTATTATGCATTGAAAATAAAATGTCAGTGGAAAGTAGCATTCATAGCCGTTGTAGAGATGCCATGTATACAGGCCTACATGTATACAAAAAACCTCAGATCATTTATAATGCGAGTGAAATCGTTTACATGGCAGATCATGGTAGCCTAGCTATAAATTCAATTACACACTGCCATAACTATAATGTTGTGCAATCTCAGATAATAGGCGAGAATCTCATTGATTTCAGATGTGTTGGAAGCCGCTGTGTCAATGTGAATAAAACCTGTCTAGCTCTCACTCACCAAAGGATTATGACGAGGCAATATAAATAAATTATGAGTCATGTCATTAATAGGCCTGCATTGAGATATGATATTGAACATGATGATGCTCATAGAAACGCAAATCATTCATCCATATTCTAATTATCAAACAGTTGAACTCTACCTAAAAAACCTCATGAAACTGCCATAAATGAGAACCTTTTTTTTAAATCTTTTTCTTTCAGAGTTGTTTTTTTTTCATAAAGAGGGCTGGGGTTTAAATTGGGTTCCCCATTTGAATATAAGACTTATTAGTATGGCGCTATGAAAAACACCTCTTCAATCTGTTAAATAATACGAAGGCGATCGGGTGAGTAATCAAATACCAACCTAGTATGGCAACGGCACAACCCTTTAGTGACTTGGGTTGGAAAGACGACCTGACTGTGATAGAGGCATACTACGATCTTGGGTACTGGGTGCTGATGTGTGGGGTATAACACAAAGATGTCTGCCATTCATATATTGCATTATTCTCTCATTGTAGGGACATGCTTTGTCTCTCACTATGCTGTAGCACAGAATAATACAGTCGGGCAAGGTAAGTGTAGAATCAATTTCATATTGTGCGGTAATTTTTCAGTGCAATACTAAGTATAGGCGCATGTACGTGCCCCGTTTTCGATGTATAGCTGCATCTATAATTATGCACGACTCTAGCAGTATAGACGAATGTCGCATGTGTACCATGGGGAATCTGTCACTTCCACGAACGTGTAATACTGGTATACTCTCCTCTGTGTTTAGTACCCTGCTTTCATGAATGTATATAGGAGTATAGCCTACCTGCATCCAGTGATATTATAAAATGGCAGCCCTTAAACCATTTGATCATAACATTCTCTAATAGTCTAACAATCACTGTACGTACCACGCTACAAATGATAAAGCTTAATCGTTTACATCAAGGAGTACATATACAAGTATAAAGGTTTTTCTGAATATCGCTTTGGGACATCGTAAATGGTTGTTTGCATGAAGCACTATAAACCAAGAATATGATTTAAAGCCCAAGTCCACTCCAAAAATAACTTACTTTCAGTAGAACCAGAAAAATCAGACGAACCAATCAAAAAAAGTTTGAGCAAAATCGGATAACTAATAAGAAAGTTATGAATTTGTAATGACATGAAAAACTTTGAAAATCACTACACAAATTGGCAACTCACTCATGAGTCTGTGACGTATGGTCCTCACTATCCACTAATTATTTTCTTTATATTGATAATGTAAATTTCCTATTTTTACCCTAAGAATCTTATTTCTTCACACCAGCATCCAAGTTAGATTATTAGTAATAACTAATATGTCTTTGTGTGGATGCACAAATAAAGAGTAATTTTTGTAGAGTTAAATCATGAAAAATTGAATTTTGATATGCTATTTATATAAAAATCAATAATTATGAAATACAATATTGAGAAAGTAGTATCAATTCTTAAAAATTCATAACAAATTCTGGGAAATGTCATGCATGCAGCTATGATACAAATCATATAACCAGGGCAAAGGCATGGGGAAAATTAAGTTTTGGGGGATAAAAAGGGAAATTAATGAGATTAAACTATATAAAGCAATTGATAAGTTGTGAGGACATGACGTCACAAGCTGATAACCATCTTGGCAATTTGTGTTGTGATTCTCATTGTTCCATAGTTTTACATACTTTTCAAAAATTCATAACTTTCTTATTATCCAATTTTGCTCAAACTTTTTTTGATTGATTTGTCTGATTTTTCTGCTTTTATTGAAAGTGAGTTATTTTTCGAGTGGACTTGTCCTTTAAGTATGAGCGCAGTGGCGTACGCAGAATTTTTAAAAGGGGGTTGTTTGAAATTTTATGGCATATTATTTAGTACGGTGACCCGGCGAGGGAGCAAAGCGACACTGGGGCCTTGCTTTTTCGTGGGTACACAAGGAAATACGATTTTTGTTTTCAAGTTCCAGTGGTGGTGGTCACTATAAGAAGCATAATTGTCACTTTATTTTCCACTGCGTCAAATTTTGAACGATTTATATTATATGTTATGAGTGTGTGTGTATATATAGGATTTATTTAAATCAAAGCAAATCACATCAAAAACCAAGAACAAACAGTCCGAAGACTGACACCTGTCTTGGGAACAACGTACAATATATAAAATTGTAATAAAGTAGGCCTATACATAATAAAATGGCAGCTACGAATACATAAATACGTGACATAAGTTAAAATAACAAATGACTATCATCATATCATGTGAACATGGACAATAATTAATGAATTTGGTTACCTGAAGTGTTCCGTTTTGGCAACATGCCCCGTTAGGGGCGAAATTTTTCATTTTTCTAATGGGACAAAGGTGCCCTTCTAGAATAAAAATTTCCCTTTTGAGTTCTTAAAGTAACCTATCAGGGATGACATTATCATTTTCAAGTGGCGTAAAGTGCCCCGTCATGGTCGAAAAATTCTCAGAGCCATTATCGAGCCAATATCGTGTTAGTTTTCCCAATCAGGGGAAAAAGAAAATCTTTTCAAGGCGCAAGAGTGTCCTCCTGTCCTTCTGAATATAAAGTGCCCCGTCATGGTCGAAGAATTAATTTCAATTCCAGCAAAGTGCCCCTCTAAAACCAATATTGCGTTATTTCAATTTGCCGCGTCAGGAGGCATCCATAATCAAGGGGAAAAAGTGGCCTCCTAGAGCCAAAATTATTCTTTTTGGTTACTTAAAGGGAGATTTGAGTTCTGGGAAGGGTCAGAAAGTTCAACTAATCTAATTGAGAAATTTGGTTAAAGTATTATAAGATAAAAACATGTAAAATTACACTATTTAAGAGACCCCTTCAAAACAATTCAATCTAAAACTGTACAAAATCCATTTTTTTAGTCAAATAGGCTTAAATGTTTTTATGGTGGCCCACTATCATTACCCCTTATACTGTTCTTTGTTTTTGTTGGGAGAAGTTAAATCACAATTTTCCAAAAATTAATATTGATTAATTTTTTGTAATTACAAATAGGTTGAAGGATAATCTGGACAATGTCCTGACCCTCCCAAAACTCAATACTCCCCTAAAGAAAATTAAATGAATTAAATCGATGAACTCTCCCCACGCAAAGACATAGGACTTTAATTAGGTCCTTATCCGTATATGCAAGCGCGGAATATTACCTTTGCGTGCAGTCATGAAATTACTTCTTTTTATTTCTTTTGTTAATACTTATTACCACGCTAAGGTTTATGCAGGTATCCTTTGGAACTTCTTATCTAATCAATGCTCATTCTTCTTTATAATATGTGATTTAAAAAAAATGTGTATTTGTTCAGCGGGAATTCCCGGGAATCTCTCTCTCTCTCTCTCTCTCTCTCCCATACTTGTTATTTAACCCCCAAAACACCCCCTCCCCTGCGTACGCGCATGTGATATGCGCATTACTTGATTGCAGGCATACGATCTGATTATCGCAGTATGTATCACTCCATCAGTTTCTTTTTCCACGCATTGTTTTAAAACTTACCATCCGAATGCAGTTTGATCTTGGATCTTGGATTCTTTTCATCCTGAATACTCCGAAGAAGAGTTTTGACTGGAGGTGGTGGAGGGTGGACGATTGCATTTTGGAAAAAAGTTCTTTAGTAACTGCATTTTTAAATGAAAGCGGGGAGGTTTGGTCGATGTTTGCTTGTTGTAGGTTGTTCCATGTCTTTACAGTCCTTCGGAAATATGAGTTGGCATAGACGCCCGAGTTGGTGTAGCGAATTTCAAATTGGTTTGAGTGTCCTCGTCTACGTCTTTTTTAAAACATTTTTTTTTATTATGCATCCGATTGGTATAAAACACGCATGCGTGTGTTGATTAAGGACAATCTAACCTTTGAAATAAGTTCATGTGTATGAAAGTAGAAAATAAGAGATACAGAATGGCGAAAGTAAATCGGAGCAATAATAAGATAATTCATTGTAAACCTCGAATCCCTTTGACTTCTTAAGACTGTTTCGCACGATTGTTCACATAATAAGATCGATGTTGTTTCTATTCACTTCGATGTAGCCCCGTGGTCTGTTCGCCTGATGGGTGGTATCTATGAATCTGAAGGCCGTGTTGAAGTCTTCTATGACAACCAATGGGGTTCTATATGTGACAGCCTGTGGAGCATCGAGGATGCGACTGTTGTCTGTCGGCAGCTGAATTACAGTGGAGCAGACCTAGCATTGGTAGCGGGTCAGTACGGCGAAGGTCAAGGTGTCGTCCTGTTTAGTAACATGGAATGTAATGGAACGGAGGGCAATCTTTCAACTTGTAAATATGATCTTGTGGATGTTACAAATTGCGACCATTTGAGAGATGCTGGTGTCGTGTGCACGAGTCAGGGTAAGGTTCAATAAGGTTTATAAAAACAGTAATATTGAAATGAAAAGATGAACAAGAGTGTCGTACAGAAAGATGGACAAATTCCCTCTTTTTCTTTCCTTTTTTAGTCATCTTCTGCTCTCTATATTGTCGATACAGCTATGACACCGAAGGCTAAGAATTGTCAATACTCCCCCCCCCCCAAAATGCTTGCAAACAGTAATGTCAGAATGTATGGTTTTTTTGAGAAGCAGAGTTTGGAGAGACGAGAAAGAAACTCCATATTATGCAATATGGTCAAGATTCGACCTGACACAAGATTGAATTCCTTGACTTGACACACCTGTAGAATGTCATAACACAATCTTGAACAGTATGGCACTAGTTCTGCATTGTCGTAATTATGTACTGGTCATGTTCTGTATTAAAGATCCACTTGTAGCGGTTGTGCCTGTAAATTATTTAAAAAAAAATTACGTTTTAGTTATTTTTGCAATATATTTCATTATGGAATACAATAATTCAGTATATTTTAATATGTTTGTATTTAATGTACATGCACAGGAAGTCTTCGCCTAGCCGGTGGGTCTGTACCTGGCGAGGGTCGTGTTGAGATTCTGGGAGAATCTGGAGACTGGGGTACAATATGTGACGATGGATGGGATAAGACCGATGCAGGAGTAGCATGTAGACAGCTAGGATACCCAGATGCTTTAGAAGCCCTAGTCAACGTAGGTTATCCCAACACACAGCCAGTCTTTGGTTCGGGATCTGGTCCTATTCTTCTCGATGGACTCGATTGTGAAAGTGAAAAGCGACATTTAAGAGACTGTCTTGTAACAAAAGAATGGGGAATTCACGACTGTACTCATGGCGAGGATGCAGGAATAACATGCGACATGGGACGTAAGTTCCTCCTAAATTAAAACATCGTCTAGTTCTATTTTCAAGATTAAAATCATATGAAAAATGAAGTTGCAGATCCTGTCTATTTCATTTAATTTACAGAGAAAGTAAAATCTCCTTTCAATTTCTTTGAATCATTGATCAATTTTGCCAAATTTATAGTACCTCTACAAACATATAGTTTCTAGCACAAGAGTGTTTCATCGGGAGATGTTATGCTGTAAACCTTTTGTAGCTCAGCCTGTCATTCATATCAATACATCGTGATATTTTGATCATTATATAAACTGAATGCTAAGAAATTCGTCCATTAAAAGTATAGGAAAAGTATTGTCTGTTTCAATTTGTCCCTGACATTCTCATCACAACCTTCATTTTTCTTGAATTATCCTACTATCCGATGTAAACAGTACTAATTAGTTTTTTAAACACATTGTATAATTTTGTGAGAAGAAATTGAGTGTGACTTTCAATTCAGTTTGTTTCAAGGAAAGCATGCCGATAATCTTTTAGAGGAATTCGAGGGTCAATATCTTATAATGAGAACGCTAGCATATATTTCATCTAGAGATTCATTACCTAATTGTCACGTAAACTGACACAAAGTTTCTTGATCGTAAAACCATCAAAGAAATATTCCCATGAAAACACGAGGCATGTTCAAATAAATTGTATGTACCATCCGACTGTTTACAAGACAGCTCTTTTCTTTTGTCTCATCTTGAACTACAGTTACCCGACTTGTAGACGGCGGTTTTGACGATGAAGGCCGCGTTGAAGTTTACTATGGGGGTAAATGGGGAAGAATCTTTTCTACCAATTGGACCATTGATGATGCCCATGTTGCATGTAGAGAACTTGGATTCCCTCTCGGAGCAAGGAACACAAAAATGTTTGAGGGAGGCGATGGACCTTTTCTACTGGACGACATGAAATGTCAAGGAGTTGAGACCCATTTAGCCGATTGTGAATCTTTAGGATGGGCCAACAACCAAAACTGTGATGCTAACCTGAACTATGGTGCAGGCGTTGTGTGTAATGGTAGGTCAATTAATATGACATTTGTATGCTAAAGACTACTTAACATCTGAGTCCTATGTTAAACGACCTTTGCTATTAAAATCTTATTTCACAATACAGATCCTGCGGCCGTTGTGAGACTCCTAAGTGGATCTAGCAGCTATGAAGGTGTAGTTCAATACCGAAATAGATCTGAACTTGGTTTGATATGTGATCCTTATTGGAGTGATAAAGAAGCAGATGTGACCTGTCGACAGCTAGGATACCAGTACGGAAGAAGTGAAAAGCCAGTTTCACTTGGACCATTATCTGGAACCATCTTTTACTTGGACTATCACTGCAACGGAACTGAAGAGCAGATAGGAGATTGTGTGTATACAGTTAAGTCGAATGATGTCCAATGTAACCCTGATCACATCGCACAAGTTTTTTGCGGACCGCCGATAGGTGAGTATCTTGCATGACTGTGTTAAACCAATACGTATTATCAAAACTCAGTTGTTTATCAAATCCTACCGCTACAAGGACGAGCATATTAATACAGACTTGACAGTCTTTCCCTATCAGTTCTATTTTCGTATAACTTTGTGAGTTATTTGCTAAACCAGTGTCTTTCTCTCAATGATCTATGTATGTCATTATCGGGCAATCTCTTGTGCCTTAATATGGTCCCATAAGAGCAGTTGCGAAATTATTTTACTTTGGTATCTCAGGAAGTGTCCACTGGTACGGATCCATGAGGAAATGAAAGATTTGAATCTACATCAAGTTAGTCCTATACCGTATAGGTGTCAACTGAACTAATCTTACCGTCATGGATGATCTACATCATACATTCTTACTAAGTAGGCTTCCTCATTCGTTCGTTCGTTCGTGTCTCCTTAGATCAAGATAGTTAATATGTAAAGTTCCTTAATTAAAAGTAAATTAAATTAAATTAAGTTCTTCCATCGCCCGATTGCTGCAATGGCCGTTTCATTAACAAAGGCCAGGTCTTCATCTGTGCAACCCGTTCCGCCGCACTGCAAGATGTGGTCCATCGTCTGAGTCTCTCTGCAGTCGCAGAGAGTATATCTCCTTCATGGGCATAGCCCCATCTTGCCATATTGACCTTACACCGCCCCATTCTCGTCCGCATTCGATTTAGGCATTGCCACTCCGGCCACTTCAGGTTAAGCCCTTTGATGAGTACGGGCTTGGCTGATGGTGGAGGATTCTGTTCAGGTGGTGGGACAGAATCGAGGAAGCTGTGTCGGGATATAAGTCGTTTGTGGGGTTGTAAGTATCCGTGTAGCATGTGTCTGTCATCTGTCGCCTGCTTCATCCGTTCCTTTAGGCAAGTGTTAGTGCGCCTTTGGTTAGGAGATCCAATGCCAGCGAGGTGATATATTTCCTCAACTTTTGTTGGTTTCAGACAGCCTGTTATCTTTCAATATGTGTTATTGAGTGTGGTGTCAAGCTTCTTCACATGGGCTGATCTGCTCCAAACTGGGCAAGCAAGCATATTCTGCGGATGAAATGCAGAGGGCAACAGCTGCACTTTGTACAGTTTTGGGGTCAGCGCCATAGTGTGAAGATGCTAGCTTCCCGATGATGATGATGGCATTTCGAGATTCTACTTTGCCTACTTTGCCTCCTCATTGAGACTCTACTATTTATTACAAAGCTTTTTCGACATCTTAATGTATTGCAAAAATTATTATTGGCAAAGTCGGAAAGCATATATGCCACCACAGATAAAATTCATGTTTTGCTGACATGCAGTCACGCAGTCAGTAAGCTATACAGGGTGAGTCAGAAAAAATGTCCCACTTTTTAAAAGTTGTATTGTTTGAAGTATGAATATTTAATCATAGGTTTCAAGATATGTCTTGATTGAGTCATCCTCCCAGTACATTTAGGTACTATTTTCATATGAATTTATGCATGCATGACTGAACATCAGACAATCTTTACAAGACTGCCAGATCTCACTTGCGCCAAGTTATTGGGCGAGGAATAAAACAGTGCATTGAACAAGGCAGTCAGACAGACACAGACACACACAGAGAAACACAAACAAACACACACGTACACACAAGCGAATGCATACACACCCACACGCACCCACGTGTCTGGCTGTTTTTGTTCAAAACTCTATTTTATTCCTCACCCAGCAACTTGGCGCAAGTGAGATCTGGCAGTCTTGTAAAGATTGTCTGATGTTCAGTCATGCATGCAGTCTGCAGAGAATCAAATGAAAATGTTACGTAAATGTACTGGGAGAAACTCTATCAAGACATATCATGAAACCCATGATGTAATATTCATACTTCAAACAATTCAACTTTTAAAAAGTGGGAAATTTGTTCTGACTCTCCCTGTAGAAATCTAGAGCTTGATTGAATAAGGAACAATTATTGATTGGACTATAACAGGTGATTACTGTAACAGTAGCTAACTTCCAACCCTAAACCATGTCCTTGATCTCAACATTGTCATTTCCTCTTCAGCTAGTGCTTCTGCGTGATGCTTATCCTATGCGTTATTCGTACTGCGGCTGTTGCTACTTTGCAATCTAAATATTTACGTCCAGATTTGGTTTTCAATATTCGACCTCAGCCTGGTTTTCACTACAGGACACGAATCTGGGACCCAATTAACCGAGACGGTATCATCAGGTTGGCGTTATGTTATTTGATTGTTCTCTCGTTGAGATCTCTTGGCACCGTCTTTCTGAGGACAAAGATAAATGATTATTTCTGAAAGCCAAAAATGTTACACCCTCGATGTGGCGTCACGTCAGAAGAAAGCCCGTGCCCCTCGACAGACAGAATCACAACAATTTATCAGCCTGATGGGACCACTGTTATATTTATCGTTACATTCATTTTATCCTTCTTCTTCTTCCCCTTTTTTTTTTAGTACAGACCTCTTTACAGAGTATTGTCGTACTATACTGGGGGTGTGTGCAGTGAGTTCTGACAACCCCTGCGATACTTCTACATTTCAGCCCCAAATTTCTTGTTCTTCTTATGCTTTAAATATGGCTTATGCGAGGATCCTAACCCTTACTCTATCATACCAAAAAGAAGAACTAGTTAGAAGGGAAACATTAAGACATGGAGTGGAAGAGTGTACTAGAATGGCAGAAACAGAGATGTGAGGAAAAATGTTGCGATCAACCTTGTAACTGGGAGAAAATACCTTGATAATTATGTAGATAGAAGATTCTTAGTTGATGATTTGATATTGATTCTTGCTTCTTCTTTTTTCTATGTGTTCATGATTTTTTTGATTTAGACTTTGACCTACGAATGGTTGGGAGTGATTTCACTGAGCAAGGTCGTCTAGAAGTCTTTCTTAAAGGCGAGTGGGGCTACGTAGCTGCAGGCTACTATTCCTCTATAGACCGTGATACAGTCTGTCGTCATCTTGGATATGCAGGTGCATTTTACTACTACGGGGGTGAATTTGCTCGTTCTTCGCGTCCAATTCTTATAGACGATATATCATGTGGTGACAATGATATGAAAATAACTGATTGCTTCATACTAGAGTTGAGCGGACCTAATTCAACCCAACAGGAGCATGATGAAGTCAGTGCTTTCTGTTTTCCATATGGTAAATATTCTTTGATTATCCAGTGTACTACTGTGTAAATCTATAATTCTATTCTTTACAAAATTGATACAAATTTTTTCAAGAAGTTATACGCATATCGAGCAAAATGTGTTTCATGCAAAAATACTTGTATAATATTGAATGGCCTTTAGTGGGATACAAGGGTATAGCTCACGTGCTGATGAGCATATTTCAAGTGTCGCCTATAATAACATTGTATCTATTATTTTCTCGGTTAAATCATTTATTGTTTGGTAATTACACGCTTTTCTTTAACAACAACTAAATTATTTATACCCCTTGTAAATGTTATGTTGATAGTGTTTTTCGTAAATCTAGAATACTTTAAGATGTAAACTTCAATATGTCACACTCTCAAGAAATGTTAATCGGGACAAATCAACGTTTCACATACTCAAAAAAATACAAAACTTGGTAAGGGTATGAATGAGTGTTCAGTTGTTTACTGTATGTGACTATAAACTACCATTATTTACAATTTTCGCCTATATGATAAGGACAAATTTCGAATTCCCAAATCAACACCTCCCTGGTGAATGAGAATGACCTTTGTATACAGAAATACAGTCTTTTGTGAGCTCTACCAAAGCCTATACTGTACAGCGTACATCGAGTATCCTGAAATGAGGTACAATTTATCTTATGTAAATTTTCTGTCACTATCATAAATGACTTTGCAGAGAAGGAAAGTTGTATAGTTCTAAACAGAAATCCGATCCCCAGGTACATTGTATCTGCATAATTGCATAGGGTCTGGCGGCTGCAAATTATTTCTGAAAAAAGCTTGCGCATTTTCCAGGTATAATGAGATTCATTTGTAAAAAAAAGTATGTATATAAATATAAATTGTTTATAATCAACATGTATTCAAATGTTTGAGTGAATGTTTTCTCTACAGTTTTATAAGACAATAGGCCTACAAAAGGCTACAAAAACATTTGCAATTGTTGAACATGGTACTCAAGTGCAAGGTTTATCAGCTTGTTACAGTTTGTGATAAGGATATTGTTGAATTGTTGAATTATTAGTTACTCACCCGTGTACATTTCAAGATTTATTTTTATTTTTATGGCGATAGAAGGGGATCGCAGCTATTAATTTCAGTTCCTCCTCGTGGAGCATTTGCCTAGATGAACACACTGATTAAACAAAGTATAGATTTCATAAACTTCAATAAAGGTATTACTCTAACTATACTGTTGGTCATTAAGGTGGAATAATATGTTTACCCCAATTTATGGAATGATTTTGACAATGATTTATTCCTAATCATCGTAGGCCTCCTTCAGTCTGTGAAGACCATGGGTGTGAATCCTATCTGTCTGTCCTGCTGGAACAGCACCTTCTGTGGCTGAACAGACCGATGCTTGAGTGGCAGTCTTTGTCACACAAGTCGCACATGAGGATTATCCCTGTGCCGTGTGAGTAACAGCGTTCTTTTCTGCGAGTCCACTTCTCTTCCGCTGCACTCTTCAGTTGGTCGTCCTCTGCATGCAGTCGCACTGTCAGGGTACTTCTCCAGCTCAAGCGGTCGGTGGCGAGTACCTCTCACTGTTCCGTGTTAACCTTCAGAGCCTTTAAGTCCCTCTTAACTACATCTCTGAGGGCGGCCAGTGTTTCTCTTGCCAGTTGTCAGTTGATCGTAGAGGATGTTCTTGGGGATTCGGCCATCGATCCTCCATACGATGGACATGGGCTAGCCAGCGGAGTCTGCCCCAGATAACAATACGGCGTTGGGCCAACGTCGGCCACGGTCGGCAGGGTCGCAGTCGGCAAGCCAACGTTGGCTAATCGTTGGGCCATCGTCGCCATTTTTGACTGATAAATGGTGGCTATTGGTTGGCTCATTCGACGTTGGGCCAATGTTGGCTGAACGTTGGTCCATTGTCGCCATTTTCACTGATAAATGGTGGCTATTGGTTGGCTATTCGACGTTGGGCCAATGTTGGCTGAACGTTGGTCCATTGTCGCCATTTTCACTGATAAATGGTGGCTATTGGTTGGCTATTCGACGTTGGTCCAATGTTGGCCGAACGTTGGTCCATTGTCGCCATTTTCACTGATAAATGGTGGCTATTGGTTGGCGCTTCGACGTTGGGCCAATGTTGGATGAACGTTGGTCCATTGTCGCCATTTTCACTGATAAATGGTGGCTTTGGGTTGGCTATTCGACGTTGGGCTATTGTTGGTTTAATGTTGGTCCATTGTCGCCATTTTCACTGATAAATGGTGGCTTTGGGTTGGCTATTCGACGTTGGGCCAATGTTGGCTAAATGTTGGTCCATCGTCTCAATTATCACTGATAAATATTGGCTATTGATTGGCTATTCGACGTTGGGCTAACGTTGGCTCATTGTCGCCATTTTCACTGATAAATGTTGGCCTTTGGTTGGCTATTCGACGTTGGGCCAATGTTGGCTGAACGTTGGTCCATTGTCACCATTTGTACTGATAAATGGTGGCTATTGCTTGGCTATTCGACGTTGGGCCAATGTTGGCTGAACGTTGGTCCATTGTCGCCATTTTCACTGATAAATGGTGGCTTTTGGTTGGCTATTCGACGTTGGGCCAATGTTGGCTGAACGTTGGTCCATTGTCGCCATTTTCACTGATAAATGGTGGCTATTGCTTGGCTATTCGACGTTGGTCCAATGTTGGCTGAACGTTGGTCTATTGTCGCCATTTTCACTGATAAATGGTGGCTTTTGGTTGGCTATTCGACGTTGGGCTATTGTTGGTTCAATGTTGGTCCATTGTCGCCATTTTCACTGATAAATGGTGGCTTTGGGTTGGCTATTCGACGTTTGGCCAATGTTGGCTAAATGTTGGTCCATCGTCTCAATTATCACTGATAAATGTTGGCTATTGGTTGGCTATTCGACGTTGGGCCAATGTTGGTTGAACGTTGGTCTATTGTCTCATTTATTACTGATAAATGTTGGCTTTTGGTTGGCTATTCGACGTTGGGCTAACGTTGGCTCATTGTCGCCATTTTCACTGATAAATGGTGGCTATTAGTTGGCTATTCGACGTTGGGCCAATGTTGGCTGAACATTGGTCCATTGTCATTATTTTTACTGATAAATGGTGGCTATTGGTTGGCTATTCGACGTTGGGCTAAAGTTGGCTCAACGTTGGTCCATTGTTGCCATTTTCACTGATAAATGGTGGCTATTGGTTGGCTATTCGACGTTGAGCCAATGTTGGCTGAACGTTGGTCCATTGTCTCAAATATTACTGATAACTGTTGGCGTTTGGTTGGCTATTCGACGTTAGGCCAATGTGGGCTGAAAGTTGGACCATCGTCTCAATTTTAACTTATAAATGTTGGCTATTGGTTGGCTATTCGGCGTTGGGCCAATGTTGGCTTCATGTTGGTCCATCGTCTCAATTTTTTTTTTAAATGGTGGCTTTGGGTTGGCTATTCGACGTTGGGCTAACGTCGGCTGAACGTTGGTCCATCGTCTCAATTTTAAATTTTAAATGTTGGCTTTTGGCTGGCCATTCGATGTTGGGCCAATGTTGGCTGAACGTTGGTCCATCGTCTCAATTATTACTGATAAATTGTGGCTGTTAATTGGCTATTCGACGTTTGGCTATTAACGTTGGCTCAATGTTGGTCCATCGTTTCAAATTTTACTGAGAAATGGTGGATATGTTGGCTAATATACGCGACGTTGGGCCAACCTTGGCTTAACGTTGGTCTATATCGTCTCCATCTTTACTGATAAATAGTGCATGTATATATTGGTTGGCTATATGACGTTGGGCCAACGTAGCAAATACGACCTAGTACCGCTACATCCGGGTAAAAAAAATTGCATGCGTGCGCATGCCCATGTGCTCATGCAATTGCAACGTACGTCAGCCATATCCTGTCCATTTGTCTGGATCAGTTGCCGGGGAGTACCAACACTGCATGGTAAATGAATGATTTTCTTTCTCTTTCAACGTTATTTTTGTGAGCATGTCGCGTGAAACTGATAAATTGTATAGTGTGAGAACTCCCCGTCACAAAGCGAGGGAAATAGCATGAGAAATTGTTAAAGTAATCATTGATAATTCCCTGTCCAAATGAAAGTGAAAGTGCATGAGTACGAGTTTACCGCTCGGGGTACGCTTAGCATGCACACCCGCTGCGTGCAATTGAAGTGTGAGTGATGGCTATGATGGCTATGATGGGGGCCGAAGTGTCGGCATCAGATGCATTGAGTGTTTGCCGTGATAAATGTTAATATGTTCCTGACTTAGAGTTAGACCTAGGTGATGTATTGATGCATCATGTTGCAGCGTCCGTGACTGTGATGATGTTCACCCCAATATGCAATATCGACCATGAATCAAATGATTGTGAATCTGTTGGTGTTACAAGTGTTGAAGGTGCTGATGCATTGTTGGAAAGACCAATTGAATCAAATAGAGCTGAATGGGAACGAAGACGCATCATTTTTGTATGCATATCTAAATGATATTATAGTCTCTGATACTTTCAGATTTAGAAGTAGGTCTATACTATACTCTGTAGTAGCTCAATATATGCTGACGATGATTCAGTTCGAAAAGGAATAAATTACGAGATTGGGCTGTGAATTAAGATATCCCGCTAGTACATGTTTCTAGCCTCCTGAAATCTTACAAGGGAGTGTGCCAAGTCTGCCAAAATATGCAAGAACTTTGTATCAACACATTTAGTGGATTGTGAGTGTGATGTGAAAGAGGTAGCTGGTGGGAATTACCCTCATTTTGGCATTTGCAATCATTTAAAGTCGCAATTGGCCAAGAACCTCAATTTGATCAAATAGTAAATAGGAACAAATATTGGGGGCGGGGGTAACACTGATCGATCCCATAATTTTCATTCACAATTTTCATTCACAAATTTGATTATTGCTGCATTTTTATTCTCATTTTCAAATTAGTTTTTATTGTTTATGCACGTGTATATTAAATTGCTATAATTTGAACTGAAGGTAAATATTCTAATTATTTATTTTTAAAATTCTGACGTTCTTTATTAATACATTCAATTATATATAGCTCTTCCAAATCCTAATACTTTTTTCTCCCATAATCCCTACAATTTTGAAATTTAAATATGAAATCCTGCATTTCATATCGTCAACTTTACAACAAATTCCAGATTCCTCTACCCGTTCAGATCCAGCTACCCCTACCTCGATCATCCAGAACAGCATCAACAGCACCAAGGACCCCTTCGACATCGACCCCATCAACCTCCAGAACACTGTCGACCCCAACGACCCCATTGACCTCAACATTCAGAAATATGGGTATGTCATTTGGCATTTTATTCATTTTGTATTTAGTTATACATGTAGACAGGATAGCACTTCTTAGTATTCGTTATAGTTGTGCCCTGCACACAAATTACAAATGTACTGGATTAATGTACGTTTGTGTAGGACAAAGCTGCTAACGGATGCTAATATCTTTTTCCTGATTATATTGAGAAACTGCATTGTGATCACTTACAAAACTATTCAACAACAACAAATCTTGAAATACTGCTTATAGCAGTATTTTTGGGGAAACAATTCTGAATGCAGGGTGCCACAAAAAACAAAACACAGTCAATTGATTTGTTTCTTGTATAAGCAACTAACGATATAGCTTTGTGTTTTTGTTTCTACTTTGAAGCCCCTCGAGCTCTCTCAAGTATTGGGAGCTTACATAAATACAAAAAAAAGTATTGGGAGCTTCACATTTCACTTCAATGTTATAATGATGTGAAAGAAAATGCCACTCTTCTTCAAAAATTTGTCCTAAAAATTAGAAAGAATACAAACTTACTAACTAAGGGTTTTGTGTTGTACGCAGAAAACGCAAATTTTGTATTCTTTCATCCATATTCTACTTCAAACACATTTGTTAGGGCAATATTCTATTTGCAGAAGTGTCCGGTGTTAATGACATCCTCTTTTACATCATACCATTTAAGTGAGATTGTGCCATCTATTCTTTGGCTAATTTTGGGATCCAACACTTAAGAGGGGCTTTAAACTGTTATCAATCAAGCATCTCAACACTGAGCAAACAGATACTATAAATTGGTTCTTTCTATTGAAGAATATTACTGCTATTTTACCTCAAATGTATATTTCCTTTGTTAAGAAGAGTGTTTGATGCTATTCTAATTAAACAAGACAAAAATAAAAGAAATCCATTCCTTTCTAATTTCCATACGTCTGGGTCATTCGCTCTAAAGTTTGAACGAAGTTATTTTCATGACAAAGTACTTCTATCCATGAAATTTCATCAAAACTAGGGAGGATGTGCCACTCAGGACTACTTCCCTTGAATGCCGTACTATTTGATTAATATCCGTACTATTTCAAGGTGATGTTTCCATGATCTGCTTTTAAATCTTGTTTGGTTTCTTTCTTCTTCTTTTTTTTGCAGCAGATGTCGAAGTTGTACCACCACAAGCTAGACAAGATTTTGATTCCGACTAACCCGTTCTTTAAAGGTCCATTGCCTTAGGAAATTAAAACTTTTATGTCTTGTATCAAGACCCTTTTAAAGCAACATAATAACAATTGTTTCATAAATAAATGCCTCCTTATATTTTTTACAATTTTTTGAAAACCTCTCCAAGTTGCTCGTCTAATGGTGGACCCCGCCCCTTACAATTCTCAGAGTTCCTCGGAATGACTGACCAAAGGATTAGTGATGTTATATCAAGAACGATCTCCGCTTAGGCAAGCTACGGTGCTTGCTAGCCAGCTCTGCAGGCATTATGTTTTGTACACAAACATAAACAATAACTTTTGTTATTAAATAGTGTGCTATGCATCTTTACTTGTTATTTATTGTGGTGAAATTTCACTAATGGCCCAATTTTAAAAAGAGAGTTATACCATGAGTCGAAGAAGGTCGTAATTGATTTGAATGCCTGTATAACGTGTCAACTAAATGCATGCTATAAAGAATTTCAAAGGTAAGAAAAAAATGTTTCATATATCTAAGTGACTGAATGTTTTTCGTACTACCTTCTCAATTTAAAGAAATATTGAAAGTGGTATATCAGAGTGAAGAAACTTGTGTTTTTCCCTTTACAAGCTCTGCTCTTTCCTACTTCACTTTCAAATTTCCTCTCTTGTTATATAAACATTTAGCGATTGCTTTACTTCACACATTCAAGCAATGTATACTATCCCTCCTAAAAAAAACATTTTGTAGATGTGTTAACAATAGATATGGCGACGAAATGTATCAGCATCTCTGAAATGCCTAAGCATAAAAAATGTTGGCAATTTCTCTGAATTTTATTTTTTATTTTTTATGGAACATTGTTTACATTAATTGCCTAGTTCTTGGTATGCAAATGGTGGACACTTTATTAATTTCTTTATATTTTTGTGCTGTACATTATGTAGAGGAATCTTGTCATAAGCAATCGTGTTCGTCTGCCAGAAAGTTTGTTTTGTTTTACTCGGGAAGTTGTGAGGATTGTTTATTATATTCGTACAATGAATTTCAGTATGTTATGTTGTGTTACGTGTAAGCGACAATTCATTTTATAACAGCTCCTATCGTCCTAGCTTTCATTGATAGGCCTATATTGTGACACATTGAGATACCTTGAACTTGAAACTATGTTTACATCTTTTTCGAATTCAAACGAAAATACAAAAGAAAGATGTACAATAATTGTATTCACATTTACAACAGTTTGTTTATTACACATAAAATAAAGTATGTTTTATCACAAAATCAGTTTATTTTCCTTGTTCTTTTGTTTTGGAGGGAGGGGGATGTATTCAGAGCAAATTCTAAGAAGCAAGATGGTGAACTTTTCATTAAAATGGGACAAATAAGTTGTTATCAAGTTTTTATAGTGATTAAAATGTACAAGATAATAGACATGACGAAATTAAAATAACATGTCCCTCTTGCTTCAATATTGTTATTATACATATCTTCCAGAGGGATCTAAGTCGAGTTCTATAATGAACTTTTCTCAAATTCAGTCTAATTTTGATGAAATTGTTACTATCTTCATTTTGTGGATTTTGCTCTGTTTATTTATTTAATCCAATCTTAAACTACTTGGCTTTTCCTTGTCACGTTGTGATGCATGTGTTTGAATGATTGTACATGTCCGATGTAGTATGATCTTGACGATGTTCTTATGAACGGACGACTGATGTTGGTGTGAATATGTTTTTGAGTTGGTGTTGGTAATGTCAAAAGAATGTTGGCATGAACTGGAAAGGGGAGGTACAACGTCGGCACATGGTGGGATACGGGTTGGCATAACGTTGCTTCTACGTCGGAAAATGGTGGAGAAGAGGTTGGCATAACGTTGGTCTAGCATTGGCACATGGTGGAGGAGGGGTCGGCACTTGGTGGGAAAAGGGTTGGCATTATGTTAGGACAACGTCGGGGAGACGTCGGCACATAGTGTAAAAGGGGTGGGCATTACGTTGGTCCTACGTCAGGGAGACGTCGGCACATGGTGGAAAAGGGGTTGGCATTACGTTTGTCCTATGTCGGCATATGGTTGGATAGGGGTTGACATGACGTTGGCCATACGTCGGGGGGACGTTGGCCCGATGTTGGCTTAATGTCATTTCGTCGCTGTCGAGCCAACGTTGGCCCGCCGGCAAGAAAGCCGTTGGCCCAACATCACATTGACGACGATGGCGCAACGTAACAGCCCACGAAGTCGGCACATGGTGGGATAGGGGTTGGCATAACGTTGGTCCAATGTCGGAACTACGTCGGCACATGGTGGGATAGGGGTTGGAATAACGTTGGCCCTACGTCGTGGAGACGTCGGCACATGGTTGAAAAGGGGTTGGTATAACGTTGGGCCAATGTCGAGGAGACGTCGGCACATGGTGGGATAAGGGTTGGCATAACGTTTATCCAATGTCGGAACAACGTCGGCACATGGTGGGATAGGGGTTGGCATATGGTTAAAAAAGGGTTGGGACGACGTTGGTCCAATGTCGGAAAGACATCGGCGTACGGTGGAAAAGAGGTTGGCATAACGTTGGTTCAATGTCGGGAGGATATCGGCACATATGGTCGGATAGGGGTCGGCATAACGTTGGCCCGATGTTGGCTTAATGTCATTTTGTCGCTGTCGGGCCAACGTTGGCCCACCGGCAAGAAAGCCGTGGGCCCAACATCATGTTGGCGACGTTGGACCAACGTAACAGCTTACGTTGGCCCCACGTTGGCGTAACGTCGTATTGTTATCTGGGGCGGTGCCTGAGGAGGGTAATCATGCTTGGAAGGCCGGCACGAGATAGGAATTCGGTGTTCGGCACTTTGTCCTTCCATGAGATGCCGAGTATGCGGCGGATACACCTCAAATGGAAGGCATTAAGTCTCTTCTCTTGCTTGGCATAGGTCTTCCACGTCTCACTCCCGTACAGAGGACGGAGGCATTGTACACTGTCATCTTTGTCTTGACAGAGAGTTTGGTGTTACCCCACACCCTTGTGGTGAGGCGAGCGAGTGTTGTTGCTGCGGTTCCTATTCTCTTGTTAAGCTCTGCGTCCAGGAAGAGGTTGCTGCAAACGGTGGACCCAAGGTACGTGAACTGGCTCACAGCTTCCAGCTTGTAGTCATCAATGGTGATGGATGGCGGCGCTACTACACCTTGTCCCGGGACGTTCGTTTTCTTCAGACTGATAGTCAGCCCAAAGTCCTTGCAGGCCTTGGAGAAACTGTCCATTAGGGTCTGGAGCTCCTGCTCCGTCTGGGTTGCGACAGCAGCGTCATCTGCAAATAGCATGTCTCTGATCAAAACCTCACGTACTTTTGGTTTGGCTTGGAGGCGGGCAAGGTTGATAAAGTGACTCTCACACTCTGCCGTGTAGGCCTACCGTGTGCCACCGGGCGCGAAAATGTCTGCGGACGGTGGAGAACGGCGAGGGCACACGGTGGTTCGTTATCAAAGCGGGCAACACGTTAATAGGGCGTTGGCGCTTATTTACACCCGGTGGGACCCGGCGAAAGTTTTGGGCATGTTCAAAACTTTGGCCGGCTGGCACCGGCCGCAAGTAAGCGGCAAGAGGACGGTGTTGAACGGTATGAGGACGGTATGAATACGTTATGAAAACGGTCACACTGTATGAACACGTTCACAACACGCTCATAACCCGTTACAGAACGGTGATGAACGGGCAAAAAAAAAATCCACCGTCTGCAACGGGTTGTAAGCGGGTTGTGAACGTGTCATGAACGTGTTGATACCGTGCCACCGTCTTCATAACGTATTCATACCGTTCTCATTACAGTGTTCATACCGGACTGCCAACGGGCGTTTCCAAAGCGGTACCGCCTGATTCTGACGGCGCCGCCTCCCTAACGCATGGGTAACATCCTGTTAACGCCTTGACGTTCCCATAACGTCCGAGCGGTGAGGGGACGCTAAGTGACTGGTAGGTGGCTGCTACAAACCCGGTGCACACGTTCGAGACCCGGTATGGGCCCGGTATGGAAACGGCCAAAATTGTCAACAAAAGTCAATCTGGGCGGTGAAGACGGTAGAAGCACGTTTAACACCCGGTATGTGCCCGCTGAGAACGGTCAGAAGATGGCAACGAAACGGTGAAAAGATTAATTTTATGAATTTTTTTTTGCGGCTGGGGACAAGTTCGCTCAAAACCCAACGTTCTGGACTCTGTTGTTTTTTAATAGCCCGGCAGGTGGACGGTAGGCCTACACGGCAGAGTGTGAGAGCTCCATTAAGGAACGCAAATTGTCCTTGTTCTTTTTCATTGGTTCAACCCTTCTTCTTGAAGTGTTCTTCTGTTGTCCTGGTTGTTAAAGTGGTCAAGTACTATTTTGTTCAGCAAATTGTGAAGTACTTTGTGGTGACACGACATTTGCTCCTGCGACAATTGCTCCGGGCTTTATTTCGTCTAAGATGTAGGGTTAGGGTTAGGGTTTCAATAGGGTTTTATGTTAGGTTTAGGGTTAGGTTTAGGGTAGGGTATAGTGTTGAATCCAGGGTTGAAGTTAGCCATTCGATTAGTGTATGAAATTTAAAGCGGAGCAATTGTCGCCGGAGCAAATGTCATGGAATCGTACTTTGTATCTGATTAAGGAAATCGCAACTTCCTATTTCCGTTCCAAAGTCGTGTATACGTGGTTAAATGAAACCTCATCCCAGATAATAAGTGTAGGCCTACGTACTGAGAAGAAAGAGAAGAAGAAGATTTTGATGTACTGAAGATATTTCTTGGCATAATGTGATGCCTTTTAGCGTCACATGGGCGAAGATTTTTTCTTGAAAATGTGACGTACTAGTTAAAGTTGTACATGTATCATGAACCAAGCTTTAGTTGGAAGACTTTTTTAATCAATAACAAAACCTTAACTTTTCAATGAGGAAAAATCATCGCTGAGAAGATCGAAATTATATTTTGTGAAAAATGTATAACAGGGTGGCAATTGTAACTAATTCATTACAAACTATTATAATATAACATGCAGTTGACAAATCAATTTCATCAATGAGAAACCTTCCCCCAAGAAGAGCACAACATTATTTATGCAATTTGCATTCTGGCAATTGTAGTACAAAGGATAATAGCAGGTGAATGAAATGCTTCATCACCACACACACCTGGTAAGGAAGCATCCATAGATTTGAATACATTTACTTGATAAGCGACTTAATTCACGTAGTACGTCACATTATCAAGAAAATGGCGATGCCCATGTCGTGCTGAGAAACTGTACATCATAATGCCTCTCTCACACACTTCGATGAGGAATCTTGTAGATTAATGGGCAAAAATATAATAAATCTGTCAGAATAAGTAAAGTTATTTCTTGGGGTGAGGTTTCCTTTTAAAGCGACTCGGTAACATTGTTGAGAGTTGCTGAAAAAAATCGCATCTTTTTTGTATGAAATGTCACATATTATATTCCTTTTACTGTACCAACCCTCTAACATGCAAAAAGTCCTGAACAAAATCTCAAACCACAAAGATATCTACGGTTTTCTGTGAAGGTGTCACTGTGTAACACCCTCTAACAGTGATTAACAGTAAGTTCTCCCAGCTTTTTTTGAATTTTCTCAACCGTTTTTCCATGAAAAGAAGACATAAGACAGGCCTTTAAAAATCTTTCAACACTTACATGTCTGGAATGGCATAAAGAGCCAATTCATTGCTTTGTGACGATTTACATTCACCTAAAATGAAATTAAATTGTAATAATATAGTTGGGAGAATTCCAATTTATATCACTAATAACGGTCCGTTTTCACTCAAACTTTTAGATTTTCAGACTTTAATTGTACATCTAGCATTGAAGTCACTACCTTAGCAGCACTTTCTCTCATCTGAACAATGTTACCAAGTCCCTTTAAGTACTGAAAGGTTTTTTGAGGATTGAGAGGGTTTATTTAGAACTATTCTTTTCATAATTATTTCCTATATTTGAATCCACAGAGAGTGTAGCAAACCACCCCGTGAGGTTCAGAGACGAGAACGGAGTGATCAATGTAAATTATGGAGTCATTGAGATATATCATGATGGAATATGGGGTCCAATTTGCGACTATTCTTTTTACGATCATGAGGTGAGTTTATTGCTTTGGTCAAGGAAATGAGGCTCCTTTTTCTTAATTAAGAATGTAAAATATATTTTTTTAGGTCAATACAATGTCATTTTCCAACGAGTTTTGAATTTACCGACTGTAGTTACATTCCAGCTCGTTATGTTGCATCACAAGAGAAATTTTAGATTTGGAGGGGAAAGTATTGGTATAATGAAACGACAAAAAATAGCCCGCATACCTTTTTTTTAATTTGCATTTTTTATATTGTTCACCTTGTATAACATTTTAGTGCAAGTAATGTAAATAATTCCATAGGTAGATTTTCAAACATGAGAGTTCCATAACACCCCCTTCACATACACGAATTTTTCTTATGGATCGCACAATTCACGGATCCTTACGATTTGGCCACTTTTACGACCGATTTAAGAGTTTTTACGAGCTATATATACGGTTTATTACGGATTATTACGAGTTATTACAATGTATATATGCGGCAAAATTCAACGATTAGTACGAGTAGTTACGGATAACTATGAGCAATTTACGGGCATTTTACGACCTGTTTACGTGTTGCTCGGGTGTTGCTACGAGTATTTACGATTCCTTACGATTTTGCAGCTTTTGCACCTTTCCCCAAATCGTAAACAATACGTAAGAATACATAAAGTTTATTCGTAAAGTACTTGTAACTACACGTTAAGTACTCGTAATAACTTGTAACAATCCGTAAAGCCATCGTAACACGACCCGAATGAAATTGTAAACAACGCTTTAGCACTCGAAATAATCCCTAAACAAATCGTAAACTTACCCTAACTAGTCGTTAACAATATTGTTACGAGTCATTTACGGATTCTTGCGAGCAGTTGACGGATGTTTATGTGTTGATGCGAGCGGTTTACGAGCGGTTTAAGGGCGGTTTACGATACTTACGGATAGTAACGAGTTATATACAGAAAAAATTATCCATGGACAAAGGGAGTCAATCGTAAGAAGATTTTTGACATGTCAAAAACTATGCCTCTCCTTCAACGGATCCTTAATACCCCCTTCACATACACGGATTTTTCTTACGAGTCCTTACGGATCGCCAACTCGTATATACTCTCAAGGATCCGTGAAAGGAGAGGCAATTTTACTTTAATACTTTAAGTATGCTTACAAACTGTTTACGATTTGGGGAAAGGTATAAAAGCTGCAAATTCGAACACTTCATTTTCAGTTCTCATTTTTTGGGCTAAAATTCGTAAGGACTCGTAAATACTCGTAACTATTCGTAGCAACACGTAAACAGGTCGTACCTAACAACTAATTCGCTTGATACACTAATTTGCTTGATAATTTGTTTATAAAAATAGATGAGGTTCCATTAAATAAGGTTAATAGTGTTAATTTTCTTGGTGTTTTTATTGATTTTTATTGATTTTAATACGGATTTAACGATGTTCATATAATAATTTTGATTCATGTAGTTTATTTTATGATAAAGCATATCATTTTATTTCTATCTTAACATTAGATCCTTTGTAGTCAGCTAGGTCATACGGATTTAACGATGAGCGGTAGCTTAAGTAACTACGATGGGAAATACACGTCAAATGGTCCAATCTGGTTCCGCTTGTCATATTGTACCCGTTACTCCGGTTCATATGGTTTTGACCAGGACAAGATATATAAATGCAGACATGGTCCATGGGGTGAACCTGATCCTGACTATTGTTCAAGGAATAACATGGCTACAGCCAGATGCGTCAATATGGATCAGACGGATGACTATTATCCAGGTAAGTAGGAATCGTTGATTTGCCCATCGCGACCAGACAGATAATCACAATTACGTTGAGAAGCCGATCAGACATTATTATGAGGTTACCAGTAGAATGCCGATGTATTGCTTATATACTTCCACATGTACATGGATCGAATTCTATAACATTCTTACTCTAGCTGCTAATCAAGCATAATGATGGAAATTAGTGCATACCACTGTTATTCAATTCATTGTGCTTCGTTTAGCAATCAATGTTTGTACGCTGTCACTCGTTGATGGAGCGTCAAGGACCGCAACAATCACTAACGCAGTCTTACGTCAAATTATATCGCATGTCTAATGGGCATAATGCATACGTTTACGAGACGTCATTTACTGACGCGTCGTGTCTAACGGGCATAATGCATACGTTAACGAGACGTCATTTATGCTATGGTCACATTACCCCAAAATAGCCTGCTCGGCGACCGAGCGGCGAGTTTTTAGCCAATTTTGCCCGGCCACCGAGCGGCGGCCGCCCAGGCACCGCTCGTTTCCTAATCGAGCGTTCACCGTCGAGCGATTTAGGAAAAAAATCGAAGCCCCTAGGTCAAAGGCTGTCAAGCAGTCGCCGCCCGTTCGCCGCTGGGAGATCAGTCAGTAACTGGGCGGCGAGTCCAAAATCAGTCGGCAGCCTTTGACCTAGCGGCTTCGCTTTTTGACCTAAATCGCTCGGCGGCGAACGCTCGATTAGTTCGGTGCCCGGGCGGCGAACGGCCAGGCACCGGGCGTATTTTGGAGCCCCGCCGATCACTGGCCGGCCGCCGGGCAATTTCTTTAAAATCAGCCGGTGGCTGGTGGGAGACCGCCCGGCAATCGGGGGGTCACCGGTTGGTCACTGCCGGGACACCGCGCGAAAAAGCTCCGCTATTTCGCCCAGTTTTGACCTAAAATCGACCGGCGACCGACGGGAAATCGACAGGTCACCGCCCAAGCATCGCTGGGGCTCTACAGCCTGCTCGACTTCTCCATAAATCGCTGGGCGATGCCTCAATTCCAGCAGCGACCGAGCAGGCTACTGATCGGTCGGTCGCTGCTCTGATTTGTGACTATAGCTTTACTGACGCGTCGTGTCTAAGGGGCATAATGCATACGTTAACGAGACGTCATTTACTGACGCATCGTGTCTAACGAGCATAATGCATACGTTTACGAGACGTCATTTACTGATGCATCTTTTCTACTGGGCATAATGTAAGTTACGAGACGTCATTTGCTGACGCGTCAGTGACTGGGTGTGGTCTTTGACGAGGCAATTGAGAGAGATTTCTTTTTTTCTTTTAATAAATGGTGGGCAGTGCAAACATTGCGTTGAATTTACTAGCGCATGCTCTGATTACAGTGATCAAAGGCATAATACGAGGTTACAACCATTGAAATGACACATTGGGTACACAGGCTACACAACAGATGATTAAACCTCTTTGGCTACAAGTCAAATAAATAGATTTGTAACGCTGTACACGGCAGATCACAAGGTCATGTTTTAACCTATATTGTTCTTTGAAATAATGCCTGCAGAAATTTGGCCAATTTCATTCGATCCATACCCCAAGGAAGTGAATGTTTTGATAGTCATGAAGAAATTACAAACTAAACTCTGATGAAGTGCTTTTGCTTCGCTGTTTCAGACGAAGATGTAAGTTGGCAACCCGGTCTCGGTGGATGGGAGGTTTTTCTAGTCGCCATTGCTGTGGTTGTACCAACGTGTCTTATCATCGGTTGCTGCTATAGAAGTCGACGTTCTCAAACAATCATAGCGACGGGTACTCCTGCTACTTACTCGTCAGCTACCAATGCTACGCATATTGATGGAGTATCCTCAGAATCTACAGACCCTGCTCCACCCTATGTTCCTCCATCCCCGGCTCCCGTCGAGTCTCCTCCTACATATGACTCTGTTACTGCACCAATGACCCCGGCTGATAACACCGATGCCTGTATGACAAATAATGCAGAGAATTCATGAAATACACTGTTGGTCATTAAGGTGGAATGATTTTTGTTTGTTACCCCAGTTTGTGGAATGATTGGCAATGTACCAAATGTATTTTGCAAGAAATGCCGCTTCATAGTAAAAGATAGTATTGTGAACTAAATTCTGTTGATATCGACATTGAATTAAGTACGAATACATGAACCTCTATAAATGACTTTCCAAAGGGTAAAGGGTTGAAAATTGCACATTTAAATATTCGTAGTCTTAGAAATAAGGTGCAGGATTTGCAATTATAGTTGAAACAAAATCCGTACGAAATATTCTGACCTTGTCAGAAACGTGGCTAAGTGAAAAAATTTGTAATTTATTGTTACATGGTTCAAGGCATGGCCAAACAGAGGATTTTTGTAACGTTGGGGATCGGGGTAAAATGCATTGAATTATTGATAACGTAATTGCATTTAATTTGTTGTCCTTTATTTGTGGGGACAGCCCCCTACGCTAGCCCCCGCTGCGTACAGTCATGATTTAGTGGCAAAAATCGGCTTTGTAACTGTGAGGCCCGAGGATCAAAACCGTGTCGATGTGCTATATTAGGTCCCTTTTGTGAGGCATTAATCCTCATTACTGTCAGTTATTACTTAAGGCCGTAGGTCCCCTAGTTGATAAGCATAGTAGCACACATATGCTTTAGCAGTCACGTAAACAAACACTTGCAATGTATTATTCCAAAACATATGAGAATGTATATTATTATCTAGATCTATTAAGAATAAATGAGTTGAGTTTGAGTTTATTTTATTTATACACGGTAAAAGCCCGAAACAGTTCGCAGACTGGTTTCAATCAGGGCCGTGTCGATAAAAAACAACATAATCATGACATATAAACAAAAGTAATATAACACTGACAGATTCACAACCATAACACGACAATAATAGGAAATAAGCTAAAAACACTTTACTTAATTAGAACTATATTGGTAGACCCAAAAGATAAACAATTAAATAAGTTACATATATGATCATCATAATCTGTTTGCATATTTATATATATAAAGTAAAAACAAAAAGAAGTTTAACAAGATTATAAATAAGTTAAAAACACATTATGTATTCATGTTAAATATTAAATAATCAAACTTTAAAACAATAAACAAAAGAAAACACACATAATGTAGAATGTAGAAGTAAAATGAAGTATGGAATAATAATAAATACTTAAGAGCATTATGAATATGGATCAGTTAAATACTACATATATAATTGTTTTTGTTTTTAAAGAGACAAAAACTGATAACGTATTGCAAAGATCATATTGCACACGAATAGACATTTAAAACATATTGCGTAGGAGTAATATAACATAAATAACAATGATAAATAGGTTGAAATTATGAGATAAAAATTGTATACAACTATAAAACCTTAAAAACAAACAACAACAAAGCTCTCTTAAACTAATAAGTTAGCCCCTCCCCACACACTTATTTCGTATTACGTCAGCTTTGCCTTAAAAATATTTAACGATTTAGCACCTTGTACTTCATGTGGCAAGTTATCCCATGTTAAGGCCCCTCTATATTTAAAAGATCTTTTCATAGTCTCAGTCTTTGGTCTTATTGTTTTCACATTATACAGACTTGAACGTGTATTGTATGTATGGTCTGCAAATATAAATCTTTCTACTAAATACTCAGGAGCTTGTTTTGAGACAATCTTATACATCATAATTGCTACATTCTTTGTTCTATTATTGTCAAGTGTATTCCAATTTAGTCTTGTTAAATTTTCATCTGATGAGGAATACCAAGAGGACCTATTAATTATTCGAGCTGCTCTATTCTGGATTTTTTGTAATTTGTTTTTCTGTGTACTTCCACATCCACCCCATACTACATCACAATAATTTAAGTGAGACAATACTAGTGAATTATAAACCAATTTCATTTCATATTCATTTACTATATTTCTTATAGATTTCAGCATATATAATCCGTTACTTGCTTTTTTATGAATAGTATTAATATGTTCTTGCCATGATAACCTTTCATCTAAAATTAGCCCAAGGTGTCTACACTTACTAACTCGAGTTAACACAGTATTGTCTATAGTAATGTTTAAATCATTATCTTTAACTTTCTCCAGACGTTGCTTCGTACCGAATACAATGTATTCAGTTTTCTTTATATTCAAATTTAGTTTGTTTTGTATCAACCACTTTTTAACATATTCTAGGTCTTCATTAATCTTCTCACTCAATTCTATGGTATCATTTGCCGAACAATATATTACCGTATCATCAGCATACATGCTTACTTTACAGTGGGTGAGGCCACGCGGCAAATCATTAACATGTAATATGAAGAGCAGGGGTCCTAAAATGGATCCTTGGGGAATTCCACATTCAACTGGCAAAAAATCTGACATTATACCGTTAACAGATGTAGATTGTACTCGACCATGTAAATAGTTCGAAAACCATAGCTGTGATGGTTCATCCAACCCGTACATACATAATTTTCTCAATAGTAACACATAGTCAACGGTATCAAAAGCCTTTTTTAGATCTAGCATTACCGCACATACAATTTGACCTTCATCTATGCTTGTTAACCAGTCATCTGTTACATTTAGTAGAGCAGTAGCTGTAGAGTGATTGGGTCGAAATCCTGACTGGTAAATGCTCAACAATGTATTGGCATTTAAGTAGTCATAGATTTGATTGAAGACCATTCTCTCTAAAACTTTTGATAGTATGGGTCAAATCGAAATAGGTCTATAGTTACACAGTTCCTTAGACCCTCCTTTGTGAATCGCAACAATTCGGGCTTTTTTCCACACATTAGGTACAATTCCTGTGTGCAAAGACGAGTTAATTATAGACGTCAGAGGCTGCACAATGTACGGGGTGACCATTCTAATCAGCTTAACTGGAATCATGTCACACCCCATTGCCTTTTTCAACGATAGGCTATTTAGTACCTTTAAAACGGCGTTTGAATCCACTTGTCTAAACTGAAAAGAATGGAGTGCCGGTGTTACTAAAGTCTCGTTAACACAATTATTTGCAGAAGGAATGTTTTTGGCAAGAGATGGTCCAACGCTGACAAAGTACTCATTTAGTTTTTGAGCAATAGTTTTTGAGTCGAGTATATCTCCTTCCTCATTTTTTATACATGTTATGCTATTACCTGACCTTTTACGTAGTAATAATTTATTCAACGTTGCCCATGTTCCTTTCACGTCATGACATGAGTTTTCAATCTGATAATGAAAAGTTTCTTTTTTACTAACTTTGCCTAATTTTTGAAGATACATAGTTTTTCATCTTTTTATAATTTAACCACTCTTCAGTAGCTTTGATTTCATTGACATGATGTTCCTTTTCCTTGCCTTCTCTAACATTGTTTTCATTTTCAGCACTTTCTTTCTCTTCGTTTTCTTTCAGAGTTCTGTCAATAGCTTTCTGTTTCATTGCGTCTCTTTTACGCATCATGTTCAATATGTCTGCATTGATCCATGGAGGTCTATCAAGTTTTACTCTTCTTTTTCGGACAGGTGCGTGTTTATCACAGATCCTCAATACCAAACGGTTAAACTCATTTAAAGATTCATTAGGATCACATGCATTAAGAACGATATTCCAGTTTTTATTCCTGAATTCAGCACAAAATGAATCATTATCGAATTGTTTGTAGCTTCTATAGGTGCTATATACATGTTGTGTTTTTTCGCTTTGATTTTTCCCCCATATGATATATACCAAGGAATGATCACTTATTCCGGTATGGATAACTCCGCTTTCGGCTACCTTTGAAAAATTTGAAACATAGATTAAGTCAATAAGTGACTTTGAATTCTGTACAATCCTAGTTGGTTTATTAATTACTTGAACCAATGAAAATGTATCACAAATCTCAGTTAATCGCATCGTATAGTAACTTGCTGGGCATGCAAGCAGGTCACAGTTCAAATCTCCTAGAACAATAATATCTTTGTTCTCATTGTCCAATTTCGTTAATATAGATTCGAACTTGTCAAACAAATTAATAAGAGATCCCGGCGGTCTATACCAGGCAATTAATATTATGGGTGAACATTTAGGAAGACTTATTTCGACTGATACCATTTCAATATCCTCGGTCATGAGATCAGACCTGATTTTATGCTTAAGTCGGTTATCATTGATATATAAAAGCACTCCCCCACCTTGTCTATTACGGTCCTTTCTGTACACGGCATAGTCATCAATGCGTATATTATCATCTGATATAAATTCACATAAACGAGTTTCATTCAATGCAATAACATCAAAATTATTTTCAGATATAATCACCTGTAAATCATCAAAATTAGAGCAAAGTGATCGTATATTTAGATGAGCAAATCGCAATCCACAATTTCTCTTTATTCTACTATGAGTTTTACCAAAAAAATAACCACTCTTTCTCGAATCACCCTGGTTAGTGGTACTAATCTCATCACTACTAATATGAGAAGTGATGATTACATTGCTCTCGTTGGGAATAGAAGAAACTTCATCCTCATCATTGTTATAAGGACAACAAAAAGTGTCTTCTTCATCATGATTTTCGGAGATAAAAAGATTATGATTCAGTTCAAAATCATTAGAGTTGCAATAAGGTTCATCTTGATAACTGTTAGAGTCAGAGAAGCATATATGCTGGCTAACCTTCTCATCAACTTCATGGTTATTTAATGGTGTGTAATTTTCGGTCACACTGACGCTATCATGTTCATCAGCAGAAAAATCACTTGCTTCATCGGTGTTATTTATGTCAGCTTCTCGATTACAAGTACTAAATAAAGGAAGAGCAGAATTTAAACTAGCAACGTTTCTCATATGAGATTCATGTGATATCGGTAACTCGGGAGAGAGATAAGTACGAGTTGAGAGTTTCTTTAGTGCATCATTATCGGCAAAGTCTTCCTGGCCTGCTTTTTAGCAGGTATATGTATTTTTGCAGAATTTACGTTTGTGTCCAGTTTCATTGCAGAGGTAGCACCTAATCTTTTCTCCAAAACGGCAGTGTAGGTGCTTGTGATTTGTTTCTCCACAGTAAAAACATCCTGTGTAGCGAGGGGAAGAAACAGCATGCGCATAGCTCATTGTAGGAGGTTGCAGTTGTGGTCCTTCAGACACGTATGACGCAGTTTGCTGATGCGGATTCTGCATTGTCATGGAGAATGGATGCGGGTCAGATGGGAAGGGATGGCGAGTGGCGTAGGTGGAGGATAAAGTCCTTCGATCAATATGTATTTGTTGAACATCATTTGGGATGGGGAATACAGGTTTATCGTTTTGATCATCTCTCTGTAATCGACTATCTCGTTCTGAGTTGATGTGGCGAATAAGATTCTGGGCGAATAAGTTAACCCCTTCAGGACTGAGATGTATGCCATCATTGCATAGATGTTAAATTGGCTCGATAGAGTCGTTGTTGATGAAGTCCCATCCGTGGGATAGGGCCATTGTCTTTAGTCGACTGTTGGTGTTGTAGCGGCTCTTACATTCGCCCTACTTACATTCGCCCTATTTTCACCGTACATTCATGTCACCAGTATTTTTCC